TGGGATACAAGAATAAAGTTGTTGTTATTTTACTGACACAAAACTACAGTATGTCACAGCAAACGAGATATATATGCTGGATTTCGTATCACAAAATCACAAGTCAAACACTTCCCAAGCATCTAGGACTGTGTGATATTCTCGACTGATATGTGCAGATCCAAGTAAGGTGGCCTTTTGCAGTTGACAGATCGTGATTTTGTCAATGTTTATTGTTTCCAAATGGTGGCTGAGATCTTTTGGCATACCACTGGGACCACCTGTACTTGTTTATGCCAGAGCCTTTACAGTTTGATTTTATTTATGTAGATTATTATAGTCATAATGAAATAAAATGGAAATGCCTCCTAACAGTGGTCTCCAAGCAAGGCAGATCCAGGCAGTCAACTCTCCACATTCACTGGGGTTAGAAAAACAAGATTTTTTATTTATTTATTTATTTCATTTACTTATACCCCGCCCTTCTCACCCCGGGGGGGACTCAGGGCGGCTTACAGTGGGCACAATTAGATGCCCAAGGCAATTCACAAGCAATACAAATACAAACAATTCAACAATTAATTAAAAACATCAGTACATAATAAAAATAAAACAGTCTCATGCTCAGGGTTCAGAGTCCATATATCCATTCCATTCCATTTGTCCTTGTCTATCATCAGATCCTTCAGTTAGGTGTCAGAATGACCAAAGGCTTGATCCCAGATCCAGGTCTTCAGTTTTTTCCTAAACGCCAAAAGGGAAGATGACGATCTAATCTCCCCGGGGAGTGAATTCCACAGGTGGGGGGCCACCACTGAGAAGGCCCTGCTCCTCGTCCCCGCCAGCCTCACTTGTGACAGTGGCGGGGTCGAGAGCAGGGCCTCCCCAGAAGATCTTAAGCTTCGAGATGGGACGTAGAGGGAGATCCGTTCGGACAAATACACTGGGCCGGAACCGTATATTCAGATCATAGAGCACCAACGTCCCTACATACTGTGCCTCCATAGTGGCACATATTACAAGTGTGCACACCAACTGCTTTGCATTTTTTCTGGCACAGTAAATATGTCAAAGATCACTTCAAGGAAAGCTTTGATATTTGTAGGTGCATATGTTCATTTCAAATTGTTTCTGAAATACTGTGATGGGAATTTAATGTGGACTAACTTCGTCATCTTACTGCTCCCAAAATACTTGAACTTCAAGGCCAGAAAGATAAATATTTTCATCTACTACTCATTGCTTTATCTGCGCATGAACATGCGTTTTAGAGCTGCCAACAACAAGAAAAAGTCATTTTTGAAATAGAGTGAAACCCCTTATCTATGGGTGATACATTCATGGACCATGTGGACATGTGAGACAGATAAGGCCAAACCCTATTAAAATGAAGGAATTCTGGTGTAGATTGGATAAGACATAATTTGTCTGTTGTGAGCAAACAAAACCATGGGTAATAGTCCCACTTCATACTGTATATCCAACATATATTAATGTATCCTCGTATGCCTAACCCACATTCATATCCCTATGTGTTCTCCCTGCTCCTCCTTTTTCTGTTTCTATTTTCACTTCTTTTTGAAACCTTCTAAAATCCAATACAAATCTTTTTGAGAGCATATTTTTCAATACTCAACATCCATTAAGAATCTTAGGCTTTGTTATGGAAACAAGAGAGTTAGAATCAGAATGAACACATTGCCTAACAGGCAAATGTCTTTCTATTTGAAAACAGTAGGATGCCCAGTGATATAAGACGTGGGCAAAAGAAGTTCAGCAGGCAACATGGTTCAGTATGACCCAAGAATCAATTTCAGAAATATTAATGAAAACATTTTTCCCTTGGCAGATCAACAAAGAATCAAAGAGACTCTAGGGAACTATTCCATGGTTCATTATGCTTAATAATGTAAATTAATCATGCAAAAGAGGTTCAAAGTTAAACAATTTCTAGATCAATGAAATTAAGAAATACCAACTAGCTTCTTTTAAATGATCAGATTTAACTATAGCTGCGGGTGTTTTAAGATAGGCCACATTCAATTTGGTGTGCTAAAAATGTCATGAATATCAAAGATTATTTCATTGCCTGGTATCAAAGAAATGTAAAGCTCTGAATCCTGCTGTCTTGGTTCAGTGCAGTTCCATTTACTGTATACATGAGATCAAGCTATGATGTAGAGTAATCCATTGATTTCAATGGAACTTACTTTCAAGTACAGTCAGCCCTCCACATTTGCTGAGGTAAGGGGTGAAGGACCCACATGTTCCCCCTCTTTTATTGTAATTTGAAAACAGTCGATAATAAAGATGATTAATTTTTAAAAAGAAAGTGAATAAAAACTATTTTTAACCTGAGAGAACCCATCTCTAAGTCCTCCAGAATGACCCTTTGGTCAATTTCTGATGGAAGATGACCACAGATTTACAGTGGTGGACCTAGAGATTCCTACAGAGAATATACCCATCAAATCCATTAATAATCAAATCTGCAAATGTGGAGGGCCGACTGTAATTATTTTTGTGTGTTGCCATTATGACAGGAGGGCTTTTAAATAAAAAATATACAGGTATTTTACACATTTTAAAATTAATTTAAAGACCGATGAAGGAAATTGTAGAGTGGCATGCAGCTTTTCCAAATTTCTGTTAGCCATGTCCCACTATGGCTACAAACTTATTACAGGTCTTATAATTTATCTGTATACCTCTCTGTAGAGGTATAATTTATCTGTATACCTCTAGAGACATTAGAATGGAGCTCCCACTACATTTATTATGAGAAATATCAATAAAGGTTAAAAAAAATGTAAAATCTCTCTTTCTATAGCAAAGTATAAAATGCAGAATAGATTTTTAAAAGCCTTGGCATCATCGTTCTTTGGATTTGGAGGTTTTCAGATCCTCACATGAAAAAGGTGTCAGGAAATCATGCGGAACTTATATAAGCAACAGCTGTGACCTAAATCACAATTATGCATTTGTCTTTCACAGTATGCTGTAAAGACACACAACACTATTCAGATGTAATTACAGCATCCAGGAGCCTCAATACCATATCTAATGTTTCCCCAAGATTTAATTAAGAATTATTTTATGTATTTGAAATGAGGCTCTTCTAGTTAAACCAGAAAAATTCTTTTCACTATTCCTAGAAATATAACAATTGCAAGATCTCCTTATTTCTCAATTGACATTTAAAAAAGAAATTGAAAAATAAAACCAAGGTTGGGTTGGGTTTTAGAGGGAGGGCATTGATCCTGGTAGGCATAAAAACAGAATTGGGAGACACAGTAATGAGTCACTCATTATGTACTGCAAGAGCTATGCAGCTAACAGTAAGGAAACATTAAACCTCTGAATCATTTTCTGTCTGCCAGACCATGGAAACCTGGCAGTTCAAGTATGGACATAGGAAAATGTTCCTCTCTCTATGTGATTTTTTAAATACAGAGAAATTTGACACTAGTTGGTTTTCAGCCACAAGAAACAGTTATAAAGCAGTCATTTTTATTTGTTCTAATCAAGCGGATCATTTCAAGCATCCTATGCAAACAAAAAATTAATTAGAACATTCAGAGTTATGATTACTATCATCAGCTTTGTGCATTTTGGCACACAAAGTAATCAACAGTTATGATCTCTTCATTCATCTTCATGGCATCCTGTGAGACATCACATTAATAGTTTTATTTTTACAGAGGGCAAATGGGAGCTGAAACAACTGGAATAAGATGTACAGAATACACATTTCTATAATTTCTTGGAGTTGGGGGCTATTTTAGCTTACTGAAGCAAAAACAATGCAGACATTGTTGCTGTTGTTGTTGTTTTTTTGGCACTTGGAAGTCTGAGATGTTTTCCTTGATAGATGCTTTCATGGGGTGAAGCTCTCAGCATCTTAGCAGTGGCCCCTTTCCCTCCCTCCCAGCCTTTTTTACAAGACATACAATCCAGTAGAACAGGTTCTCAACCTGTGGGTCCCCAGATATTTTGGCTGTCAACTCCCAGAAATCCTAACACCTGGTAAACTGGTTGGGATTTCTGGGAGTTGTTGGCCAAAACACCTGGGGACCCACTGTGGTAGAAGGAACGAGGACAACCCCCCCTGCTGTGACATGTGGGGGAGGGGGAAGAGAGACTAGAGGGGACTGCCATTTTGTATCACTGGGCTGCCTGAACACGGGGAGCATAGGATATCTGTCGAAATACCTGCAGTTGATTCTGCAAAGGACAGTCCCTCTTTTGGGAGAGAACCTGTTTCAGGATTTAGGTTTTCCCCCAAGTTAGTTCAATCCAAGGTAAATCTGTGTTAAGCTGAGGGGCTGATCACATCACACACTGACCTAAGTGGTCAATGTAGAGATAGGGACATATTGTAATTATCCAGAAGGCTTGGCTTTTTGTGTTATATTTATGAGGAGTAAGCACAGTATCAGTATTAATATTCACAATAGCTTTCAAATATGATCATGGTCTTTGTATGCTACACACATTTTGAGTTTATGTACACTGTATAAAACCATCAGGAGGATAACCAAGGTTACTACCCTATTTTTCACTGCATGCTTAATGTCACTACTAAAAGGTAAAGAGAATAGTATGACGCTCAAACAACATCAATGCCATGAGTCTCAAATGATGACTCAAGCAGTACAGCTCAGCCAGCCACTGCTGATGACAGCCGTGTTGTTGACATCTTTCTTATTGTGGTGACAAGGGAAGTAAAGCTATGCCTGGCACCCCATTCCCTATCTTTGAAGTCAAAAATAGCGGGTGAAAACCTATGAATAGATTGCCCTGCACTCTGTCACCGTAATTTTGGCCTAATAAGGGCAATTCTCATAGACTATTTCAGAGCATTGATGCAGTTGTTCGCTGAGCTATAATTCTGTGCTTAAGAAATTTCATGTTATAATTCTTCAATGCCCTATGGCTTTTTCACACTAAAAAATGAAAGCACTTTGATTCCAGTTTAACTACCTTAGTTCCATCTTATGGAATCCTGGAATACATCTACTGGAGGGCAATCTTTCTTAATATTTCCTCTATCGAGGACAGAGGGACTGTAAGTTCTCAGAGTTGTAGGACTTGTAAGTTGCTAGAGAGAGAAAGAGAGAGAGAGAGAGAGAGAGGAGGAGGAGGAGGAAACATTTTTAACAAGGAGACACTATGGATTTAAGTTTTATTCATTTTGTTATAGTTTTTATTATGTGTTAATGTTTTTAATTGTATTCATGGTATTGTAGGCATTGAATTTTGCCCTGTAAACTGCCTTGAGTCACCTGCAGGCTGAGAAAGGCAGTATACAAATACAACAAATAAATAAATAGGTTACCATAAACGGGAGGACAGACAATTTGGATTGTCTCTGACAAATAGAATATATCCTGATGACATTTGACCGTCAGTGCAAGAGGGTAATGGTCTGAGTAGGCAGAAATTGGGAACTAGTAGTGGGAATAGTGCATACATAATACATGCAAGTGCCTGAGCAGACATTTGAAACATGAAAGTAAAGCTCCTTTCTTAAGGGTTCGTTAAACTACGAAGACATACATGCAAAAAAAAAAAACCCATCATAGTACAAAACTGTTGAAGATGTTGTGATTTTGAAGGGAGATGTTGACAAGCTGGAATGTATCCAAAGGAGGGCAACTAAAATGATCAAGGGTCTGGAGAACAAGCCCTATGAGGAATGGTTTAAAAAGCTGGGCATACTTAGCCTTCAAAAGAAAAGGCTGAGACGAGACATGATGAGGGCCATGTATACATATGTGAGGGGAAGTCATAGGGAGGAGGGTGCAAACTTGTTTTCTGCTGCCCTGGAGACTAGGACGCAAAACAATGGCTTCAAACTAAAGGAAAGGAGATTCCACCTGAACATGAGGAAGAACTTCCTGATTGTGAGAGCTGTTCAGCAGTGGAACTCTCTGCCTCAGAGTATGTTGGAGCCTCCTTCTTTGGAGGCTTTTAAACAGAGGCTGGATGGCCATCTGTTGGGGGTTCTTTGAATGCAACTTTCCTACTTCTTGGCAGGGGGTTGGACTGGATGGCCCACAAGGTCTCTTCCAACTCAATGATTCTATGAGTCTATGATTCTAAATCATGCACCAGTGTTCTTGCAATCACACTTGTTTAGAATTGCATGAGTGTGTGTCCCTAGTTTCAGTGTAATTTATCTACTTATCTATTTAAGGTTAGTTAGTACTATGTAAAGATATCCTAGAGGTGCTTGTTCTCATCTGATCTTGGAAGCTAAGTAAGGTAAGTCCAAATTAATACTTGGATGGGAGACAACCAATGAATACCAGGTGCTTTGGGCTATATTTCAGAGGAATAAACTGGTAAAAACACCTCTTAGTATTCTTTGCCTTAAAAAAACCCTGTAAAATTCAGGGAGCCACTATAAATCGACAAGTGACTTAAAGCCACAAACACAAATACAGGATGTATATCTGGGAGTAAACCACATGGCATTTTCTGAATAGATTTACATAGGATTGTTGAGTGATTTCAGCTATCTGCTAAGAGTGTGAGTTCAGAGTCCGGTATACTATGCTACTTACCAAATCAAAACAGAAACTGGGTTTAAAGGCAAAAGGAACAGAGGTCAAGGGCAGCAGGGCAAAGGTGAAGTGGGAGATGCTGCCCATTTAGCATCGTGAAACAGTAAAAGATCAAAAATATATTATATTAATTCATATTTAATTCATATTTCATGAGGGGGGGGGGTGTTTCAGTTTTACAACCACAAGATAACACATAGGAAATCATCACTTATAGAGGATCACCGTGTAATTGGAATTTTTGGTTCAGCCATTTAAGCAACACTTCAGAAAAACAATGTATTCTAATAGCTATTTTATATTTTTAGTGTGAGTTTTGTGTGGGTATCACTTCTTAGATGCAATAATAGCATGCTATTTAAAGCCTCATATTTATGAAGTTCTGGGAGTGGAAGAATGCATTAGTATCCAGATAGGTTTGCAATTTACTATATAAGATCATAAACAGCTGGTCTTGTAAAAGTGAAACTTTGGAAACTTGAAGTGAAACTTTGAGGAGACAATACACACAATTCCATATGATTGTTGCCATTTAACTTATTTTAAAACAAAATTAACCCCAAAGTACTCCAAACTTCAGTGTATCCCAACAGAATAGAAATGGATATTCTGTTCCTATTAAAAACGCACTTTGTGTTTATGACATAATTTTAAAAACATCCTGTACTGGAATGATCAAGCCAAGTGTACGATAGGAGTGTTCTTAAAGTGTGAATCTGATGTGGAATGGAAAGATTATATGGAAAGACCAAGAAAACATCAGAATTCAGTCGGGAGTTTATGAGTAGATAAATAAACCACGTCATGTAAGTGACGTGAACACCACACTGAAGATAACTAAACTGTGGGAAAAGGCAAGGCCTTTGAAAGTTTCCCTGAAAAACATGGGAAACGGCTCTCCTATGTTTATCACTTGCCTTGTTGTTTCACTGGAAAGTTTAAACATAGTTTTTGACATTTGACTTTATAAACAAAACAAAATTACATACAGATTTTAATTTTCTGAAAGAATCATGTTTCTAATCTTTGTGGTGTGAAGAATATGGTTGTCAGGTCCACATTCCAATCAAGCTCATCAATCAATCAATCAACTTAAAATTTCCCTTCAGTGCTAAGACACAGATACCTTTTGAGTTTTTGTGTCTGGAAAAAAATAGGAATCCTATAGACTTCCAGATGTTGTTGGACTGCAACTCCAAACAACCATATCCAGCACAATCAGTGGTGAAGAATGCTAGAAGTTGGAGTCCAACACTATCTGGAGGGCTACGTGCTTTTCATCCGTACCCTAGAGAAAGTGGCATGGGTAGAGTTTTCATGTAGGCTAAAACAGCCATGTTTTTCTCTCCCATCCACACTTTTTTGAGTAAATAGGCAAACTTTCACCTACAGTACAAAAGCTATTGCATCGTTATTGCCTATAAATGCAGTCTCAAATAAATATACACAGAGACAGAGGGACATTTGGCAGACATACAGTATTTTTGGGATATGTTGGGATCTTCTGCAGCACATTAAATGGCTTAACAGAATGTAGACTTTCCTGTTACTTTCTTTAATCCATTGTACACCTTTTAATCCATTCTGCAGTGCACATTGGTGGCATGCATTTTGTGGCTGCCACAGTTTGAGTTGGCTTGGACCCACATTTTGGAAACTCACGTTTGGTTGTTGTGGCTGAATTAGCCTGAATATTTGTCTCTCAGCTGCCTGTCTTGAAAGCATACTTGCCTTTTAGATATTAACCCATTTTAGCATATTTTCTAGACATTTTCATAATGTTTCTAGTATAAGTTGAGTATTCCTTATCTGTACTGCTTGGGATTTGTGTTCTGGAATACTTTTATTGCATATGTATACATAATCAAATATCCTGGAGGTGAGCTCCAAGTCTAAACACTCCCCCACACTGTCCTCCTTTCGGAAGGAGTTGAAGACTTGGGTGTTTGGACAAACCTTTGAGAATATCTAACCCCAATGGTCCACAATTAATGACAGCATTTACACTTTCGTCCCATTCCCTAGTTCATGAGCTACAACTTCCACTATCCCATTCCCCTGATCCTGGTTACAATTGGCCGTGTTTTACGACAGTTCTCACCATAGATTATTGAGCACTGTTTTAAGTTTAAATAATTATTTTATATTCTGTGGTTTTATGTCTTATTGTATTGTATTTTTTTCCCTTGCATTGTTCCATGCACATTATGCCCTTTGGGGAGATGGAATAGAACTTTATTTTTCTACCCCATCTCCCCAAGGGGACTCGGGGCGGCTTACATGGAGCCAAGGCCAGGCAACATACAGATTAAAAGCAAAGACAACAGCAAATTACAAATTAAAACAGCACAAACAGCATAACAAAATAACAAAAATAACAAAAATAAAGTTATTATTATTATTATTATTATTATTATTATTATTATTATTAAACATTACATTCATTTATATTTCATATAAAACTAAGACACATATCCCGGAGACAGTTTTATACAATATTTTAATATATATTTTTTGCATGAAACAAAGTTTCGTTGCACTGAACCATCAGAAAATAAACATGTCATTGTCTCAGCCACCCATGCGGCCAATTTCAGGGTTCAGAATCTTTTGGATATCCAGGTAAGTGATGCTCAACCTGTTCATTTCTGCTTATTATCTAACTTTAAAGTTCATTGATGACCATAACAAAGTTATGTTTTTATATGTATGCCAGTCCATCTAAATAGACTTATTATTGGTACTCGTTTATCCTTATTAACAAGATTATGGACCAATCATTGTATGATTTTCATTGCTATAAATGTGATTTGTTGTTCTTGTTATAAAACCAGCAGACAGAAAAAAACAACAATAGCTTCTGAACTATGCTGGATGGGGTAAGAGAGTGTGTCTCCTTCTGCTCCTTCTACCAAGCTGAGCAGGCACATTTTCCTTGAAATACACACAGCAGGTGTTGCCTGTTCATCACTTCCATGCAATAAAGTTCTTTTAACTGCACTTATACAATTAGAGCCACATCTTTTTTTAACCTCTTTCACTCCCAAGATGTGTGAAAGTGAGGAACATATTTTTATCCAGAAGCAAGACTAACAGTTTTGCAGTCTTATAGAGGATATCACTAACTTTTATTGCTAAACGATTCAAATGGATTTCCCTTTGTTACCTTTTGTCTCCAACAAAAGGGCAGTGGCATTTTACCTAGACTGAAATAAAAAAAAGTGTAGGCCTCTTTCTCACTCCACAAGTATAGTGCTACAACTCCACTTTTCCCTCCGTGGCTACATCCTATGGAATTCTGGAATTTGTAGGGTGATGAGACACAGAGGCGAGCTCTGACTGAGAATTCTAAATACTTCTAATTAAATTGTAAATCCTGATATTCCACTTGATGGAACTCTAGCAGTTTAAATAGAATCACAGTATTATACTATAGTTAGTAGAGGAGGAAAGAGAATATAGTGCCAGGGTGCCTGGAGTAAGAGAAAACATCAGCTATACAAATCTGCTATACAAATCTGGTGGGGTGTTT